CCCACGTTGCTATGGGCTCCTTCCCAGGCCCCTCTCTTCGGCTTCGCCCCTGCTCTCATTCTCCCGTCCCCTCCTCTTCCAGGCCAGCATCCCAGCTTTTTGAATCCCCCTCCAACCCTAGCCCTGCCCCCTTACCTTTAGGGCGCAGGCTGATGAAGCTTCCGCCCCCCCACCTGCCCTGCGGGGGGTCAGAGAGTGCGGGGGGCCGAGGCCTCTGTTGCATTGGAGCCCGTCACCCCATCACAGGGAGGTTTAGGTTGGACCTAGCTTCCGCCCCCCCACCTGCCCTGCGGGGGGTCAGAGAGTGCGGGGGGCCGAGGCCTCTGTTGCATTGGAGCCCGTCACCCCATCACAGGGAGGTTTAGGTTGGACATTAGGAAAAAGTTCCTAACTGTCAAGGTGGTCAAACACTGGAATAAATTGCCCAGGGAGGTTGTGGAATCCCCATCTGTGGAGATATTTAAGAGTAGGTTAGATAAACGTCTATCAGGGATGATCTAGACAGTACTTGGTCCTGCCATTAGGGCAGGGGACTGGACTAGATGACCTCTCGAGGTCCCTTCCAGTCTTAGTATTCTATGATTCTATGATACCATGTGTCTGTATTGGTCTTTGGATGGGACGTTAAATAGGTTGATTCTATGGGTGCTAAGCTTCCAAATGCACTTGAAAGTTAATGAGCTTCTGGTCTTTAGCATAGTGACATACCATGGAGAACTTAAATAAAGGTTTTTAATTTAACAAAAGAAATGTATCTGACAAAATCTTTTTATAACCTCTCGGCATTTCCCAAGGGCTCTTGTGAGCACTACCTACTACTTTCCTCTAAGGGAAAATTATCAATAAAATTAAGAATAGTTCTTTACAAGTTAGAAGGGCTGAGTAGGATCTCTAAGTGGTGTATTTCAACACTGACCACAATTTTGTATCAGTTGTTGGTAGGACCAGGCCCTTTTTCAATGCGTTTCTGTTCATTTTTCCTGCTACACTAATCTATACCTTCTCTCATTGTGTCATTTTGTGTTCTGCATTTAAAGAGACTGGAAGACTCATAAGGATTTCCTTGGGATGTTTCTATTCACTGCCCTGTTGATGTTGTGAAAGCCTGCACAGCGATGGGGCCTGCATTTCACTGGGTGACAGCTCTTCACATGCTGATTTTTCTACAGATGACCCATTTGATTGCAGGTAAATAGAGTTCTGAGTTAAACACATGCAATGAAACAGTCTTTACAAAGGCGAATGGAAACTATGGATGCCAAAGTGATAGACTCAAGTGTCTTCTTTTATTTTGCAAGGTATGCGGTTATGTTTAAAAAATCTCTTCTATTTTTTATTTTATTGGTATATTCCCTTGTAACTATCCCCTCTGTCCTGTTCAATCTTGTGTAGAGACCTTCCTCAAATCAAAGCAAAGCCACCACATTATGTACTATTTTAATATACCTTATTGGTACAACCAATATATTCCTTTTTGAAAAGAGGTCACTTTTCTATAGGGTCCATGCAGGGTCAATGCACCACTTTAGTGACACTAAGTCCCTCATTGAAAAGTTAAATTGGGATGTACATTGTTCATTGGCCTAAATTACTAGCCAGGCTCGTGTGTCCATTCTCAGGACTATTCTTCACATGATCATTAAATTCACAATCAAAATCTGAGTGTGCCATAGTTGATACATGTGGGCCCACAGCATTGAAATCCCCAAATAAGTAAAATCCATGCAAAAGACAAAGCAGGGGCGGATATAGGGCAGGGCGAATGGGGCGGCCGCCCCGGGCCCCGGGCTTCAAAAAGCCCCGCACATGCGCCGTGGCGCCACCATGCATGCGCATGGCGTCACTGCGCATGCGCCGTGGCAAAAGGGGGGCCCCCGGAATTATGCTGCCCGGGGCGCCGCAAAACGGTCACCTGCCCCTGAGACAAAGTCCAGTGTTCACTTTTCATTACACAAACTGAGACTCTTACTGATATTAGACAGCACCTAATTCCAGTGATAGCCCCACTTGAAGTCAGAGCTACAAGTCACAGGGTTAGTCATTGTGAGAAAGGATGGCAGAATATAACCTCTGTATCTAAAATAACTCCCATGATGAATTGTCTGTCACTGACAAATTTTATATTTAGATGATATCTAAACTGCAGTGCTTTTCTGGGACGCTGGAGATATTCCAGAAAAGTAATGCCATGTCGAAGGAAATTTGCTTTTTTGGAAAAACTTACAAAAAAGCAAATGCATTCTTTTGCCATCCCTCTAAACCTTGTTTTACGAGGAAGAAGGGATGACTCAAAAGAGCAGATTTTTCTGAAATCAGGCAGGCTGTGTCTACATTGGGCCACTTATTCCAGAAAATCAGCCACTTTTCTGGAATAAGCTGCGAGCTGTCTACACTGGCCCTTGAATTTCTGGAAAAGCAACGATGCTCTACTGTACAAAATCAGCCGCTATTCCGGAAAAACTATTCTGCTCCCGCTCGGGCATAAGTCCTTATTCCAGAACACTGTTCCGGAAAAGGGCCAGTGTAGACAGCCCAGTAGTCTTTTCCGGAAAAAAGCCCCAATCGCGGAAATGACGATCGGGGCTCTTTTCCGGAAAAGCGCGTCTACATTGGCCACGGACGCTCCGACATCCCCCAGCTGCCACTCTCTGCTGCTTCGGGGGTGCATGAGACGCATCCTACAGAGACTCCCCACAGAGCTGTTTAACCCTCTGCAAGGGGTTAGTGTGGCCGACAGACCGGGAACCCCAGGTGTTCTGCCGAGGCATTCCACGGAGAAAACGGGTAAGAGCCGTAGCTCTTCTGCCCCTACCCTAGCCCACACTTAGGATCCGATACGGGCTTCTACAAAGGGGTCCAGGGCTGAATCGGCATGGCCGATTCGAAGCTGGCAATGGCTGCCCTAGGACCAGGTTTCTTGGCGCATGCACGAATGAGTGCAGCTGTGCTGGCACCCACAGCAGTGGTGCCGGAGGCTTTATCTCCACTCTCTTTGGTGCTGGACGCTTTGGCACCAACACCGGTGCCACAGGAGGGCACCGTGAATTTGCAGCCCTCGGCACCGGCATTACCTTCTTCGGCCCTGCAATCCGCTGAGCCAGCAGCAGCGGATCTTCATTCAAACTGCAGTCAGGCTATGCAGGTTGCTTCACTGCCTGCTGTGCCACTGCTGTTCAGTGCCGTCCAAAACACAACACAAGTTGGGAAGGGTTCAGACACTATCTCTTACCCCAGACCACGCTGTGTTTTCTCCTCCACCTTTGTCACCCGCCTCATCCTATGTGGACAGCCATCACCGTGCTCATTGCTCGACCAGGGACCATATTTACAGATCGCCTCGTCATTCACCACAGTGTTATTAAGCGCATTATTCTGGATCTCCCTCCCGCTACTCCACGAGGTCTATTTCACCACGGTCTTCAAGATCTTCACGATATTCTCGTCGGTATGGAACACTAAGGCACTATTCTCCGAGATATTCACCGGGGTCATACTGTCACAGTAGGTACTATGACCATTACTATGATGATCGTTATTACTCTCTCCATCAAAGGTACCCACGCTCACGGTCTCCGCGCTCCAGCGGACCGGTGTCTCCACATCTTGCACCATTGCAAACCCACCCTCCGGCGGCTTCACCCACCCCTGTGGAGGAAACAGCTTCAATCTACACTCCAACTCGGGAACTTCAGAGTCCTGATTCTCCTGCCAACCACTCATCTTCATCACCAGATGATGCAGTCTTCCCTGGGGATCTATCTCCAACAGAGGACCATAATCAGTTTTAAGAACTTTTTAAGAGAGTTGCTCAGTCTCAGAGTATTCAGCCTATGAATGTTCAACAAAAACATCATACTATTCGCAAAAATCAAAGTTGGCAGTCTCCTTTGACGACGCCATTTTGGAAATTGATGATGACATCTGGCAGAGTCCAGCTACTTCCTTGCCGACCAACAAGCGATTTGACAAGAAATACTTTATAAACCAGAAGGGCATGGAGTTCTTGTTTACTCACCCTCTGACTAATTCCCTTGTCATGGACGCCGCACAACAAAGGTCCAAGACAGCACAAACTAAAAATACCATAAATGACAAGGAGGCCAAACACCTAGACATTTTAGGCAGAAAAGTGTACTCCTCTGCCACTTCAGCTTTGAGAATGTGCAATTACGTGGCTCCCCTGGCAAATCATGATTTCGATAATTACTCAAAATTAATTCCTCTTTTAGAACATCTGATGGACTCAAAACATCAAATTCTGAAGGTGGTGATACAGAAGGGCTATACAACAGCCTGAACAGCATTGCAGATCACTCTGGACACTGCTGATGCAGCAGCTCGAGCAACAGCAACTGCTGTAGTCATGCATCGTACATCCTGGTTGCATCAAGCTGCTGCCCCCAAAAGATTTGCTGATTAAGGTAGAGGACTTGCCCTTTGATTATCAGTCACTCTTCGCTCAATCCATGGATCAGGTGCTCCGCTCAGGCAAAGACTCTCGTACGATGTTGAGAACGCTGGGGGGATGTATACACCTCCATATAAGCGTAAGAGATTTATGCTCTACAACAAGCAAAGACCTTTCTCTTACACGTCATTCCATTCCAAACCATACGAGCAGCAAAGGCCAAGACGGCACCAACAGAAATGGAGACAACAACCTTACAAGACACCCGGCCACCAGCAGGGGTGGCAGCAAGCTTGACGTGTCGGTCGAGGAACTGCGCATCACTCCTTTGAGAGAGGCTCCACACAATCCGCAAACTATTTAGAAAAGCTAAACGTACACAAATCCATGGGTCCGGACTTAATGCATCCGAGGGTACTGAGGGAGTTGGCAAATGTCATTGAGGAGCCTTTGGCAATTATCTTTGAAAAGTCGTGGCAATCGGGAGAAATCCCGAATGATTGGAAAAAGGCAAATGTAGTGCTTATATTCAAAAAAGGGAAGAGACAATCCAGGCAACTACAGATGGGTCAGCCTTGCCCTCCAGAAAATTCATGGAAGCAATCCTGAAGGGATCCGTTTTGAAGCACTTGGAAGAGGAGAAAGTCATCAGGCATCGTGAACATGGATTCACCAAGGGTAAGTCGAGCCTGACCAACCTGATTAGCTTCTGTGATGAAGTAACTGTCTCTGTGAACATGAGGAAGTGGGTGGATGTGATGTGACTTCATTTTAGCAAAGCTTTTGATACTGTCTTCCATAGTGTTATTGCCAGCAAGTTAAGGAATTATGGATTGTAAGGTGGATAGAAAGCTGGCTAGATAGTCAGGCACAATGAGTAGTGATCAACAGCTCAGTCTGGTTGGTGGTCAGTGCCCCAAGGATTGGTTCTAGGGCTGGTTTTGTTCAACATCTGTAGTAATGACCTGATGAGGGGATGAATTGCACCCTCACCTAGTTTGCAGATGACCTTAAATTATGGGGGAGAGGTAGCTACATTGGAGGGTAGAGAGAGGGTACAGAGTGACTGAGACAAGAGGATTGAGCCAAAAGAAATCTGAGGTTCAACAGGGACAAGTGCAGAGCCCTGCACTGGGGACAGAAGAATCCCAAGCTCTGCTACAGGCTGGGGACTGACTAAGTAGCAGTTCTGCAGAAAAGACCCTGGGGATGACAGTGGATGAGAAACTGGACGAGAGTCACCAGGGTGCCCTTGTCAGAGGAGGGTAACGATGTATTAGGGTGCATTAGGAGGAAGGGCCCTTTCAAGAGGAAGACCTGCAGGGAGTGTGGTAGCAGTGGAGGAGGTTCCTTCTCAGCCATGCACTCCATGCGGGGCTTCTGCTCTTGAAATGTACAAGCACCCTGCTGGGGCTCTTGTCCACTTCAAAAGCAGAATTACAGAACAGACAGGAGTGGAGATGACGGCTTCAGTTCTCGCTCCAGCCATTTTCCCTTGTGCCTCTACCTCCCCTGGCCCTCAGACAGTGCTGGGGGGGAATTGGCTTTTAAACCAGCTCCCTCCAGCGTCGACTCCCGTTCACTCCCCCTTGCTGCCCCTCTCTGATAGGCTGCAAAGGGAAAGGGAAGTGACTAGTTGCATCAGTAGTCAACTATCTGATAGTCAATATTAGGTGGCTAAATGATTTTAGAAAGAGAAAGCTGCAGGTGGTCCCCTAACAAAACTAGACTCTCTCTGGTTCTGAGACAGCGAGCATCTGTAATCTGGTGGTGTGCCTCC